CATGGTAACCAAGGCCTCTCTATTTTTCTCTCTTGCAAAATGAATTGCAAAGTGTCACCTTTTTAAAATTTAAAGGTTGGCCTTTATTTACCTTTCAAATACAGCAATCAAAAGCATATCAGAACAGCATGCCGTTTGACATTTGAAGAATCTGAGCGTCATTTCTACATTGAAGGGCTAATGGTCACTATTTGTGTGAGTGTTTGTGACTGCAAAGGTCAGTGGACAGAAAAAATAGCATAAGAAAAACAGAAGGCTGTTTTGATGGCAATGTCACATCATACGTCAGTTTTAAAATGTTGGCCTTGGTCAACATTTCCTAAAGGAAAAAAATCATAAGGCACCAAAACAAAGAACCAACCACAAATGAATAAAACTGGAAACAGGTTAAGGCCTCTGTGAAGACTTCAGAGACTGTATCCTTTTGCTTCAAAAGACAATCCAGCCTTGTGTTCTCTAGAGAATTCTGCCTACAATTGTTTATTTTTCCCATCTGCTACTCTGATTTTCTTTGCTTTGTCCAGAGTGGAAAATTTCCTAATCGCTTACTGTCTCTGAATTTTCAACACTAAACACTTCACAGAAGCAACCTCAGAAATTATATCAGCATGAAAGTTAGTTTAGTGTTAAGGTGTTTCATTAGCTGCAAAATAGCACACAGAAGAGGTTTTACTATTTCTATTTGGACTCGCAAAAGAAAATGCGAATGGATCAGAATCTATTATGCTTAGTGTTCAATGACTACTTTTACTTCTCCTCTCGCCAATTACTCAGGTTCTCATAAGGCATTTTTTTGTTGTTGCCTGTATATTTCTTAATATAGTGTTGCAGTGGTGTAATGTATCCGATATCACTGACTTACATATGTGACATGACTTACATATTAAAGCCCAATATAGTTTACTACACTGGATTCTTTTGCCATAATATTCATTGGTTAGATAAAAACCTGCTTAAGAATTTAACACCAAAGAATGTCAGAATTCAGAAGGCTTCCTTAGTATAGTATGTTTTACCCATAGGTGAGGTGTTTGCTTGTTCTTCCATTTTTATAACACCATTATAAACACCATTTGCCCTTTAAATATTTTCTTTGGTATAAATTTAGAGCTGTGCTTCAGTTTTTTCTCACAATGAAGTTATGAGATTTATTAATTTTGTTCTTTGTTTTGAAAACCTCATTTTGTGTGAGATGAAGTATATCTTGTGGCTGCTGCAGGTTAACAAGACTTATTGCTATAAAGATAATAAATTCTAGTGGCTTTAAACAGATTTTTAAAGTTTTTTCCCCCCAAAAGCCTTTACAGAGTTGGTCATAGTACTGACCTAATAGCTTGTAGAAAAACAGGGTCAGAAAAGAAAAGAAAAACTGGTGAGGGAGGACAGTTCTCTATCCTTTTCGAATCTCCCATGGGAAGAGTGAAGTATTGTGCTTAATAAAATGTGCTTCCTTCCCACCTTTCCCAGACTGCTTTGCCAGTGAACTCTCCACTGCCCTAGCTTTGATAGTTCTACATTTGTTGATATTAGAGATATTCACGTCGATATCTAGGATGTCTAGTGGAAGCCAGTTAAGTTTCATTCTGAATTATTTAAAATCAGCTCTCTCTGACAACACTGTTTGGCAGTTTGGCAGTTTTTCATATTTCTTTTAAATTTTAATTACAACCCATCACATCTTAAGCAATTACTTCTGGGTTCGACTCTTGATGAATGTCATAGCAGGGTGTTTTAATTTAATGGAGCCAGAAAAACATCTGTTTCTAATATTTTAAAAGCCAATTTATATGGAAATTCATTTAATGCACAGTCAATACATGGAGACTTGAAAAATCAAAATGGAAAATCAAACTTCTGTGATTTAGTCAGTCTTCTGTTAACAAAGGATTTCTCTTATGACTAGGTTCAGTTGACACTACTTAACTCCCAGACTATCATGGTTTAGAAAAAGATAGCAGTTTACTTCTTATGTGTAAGAATGGGGAGGTTGTTAGCCTCGGGATGGTATGCTATTGGGCTCAGTTTCCTTCAGTCTTCTTTGTTTTGTCATGGGATTCCTATCTCTTAAGGACACCTTATGGCCAAGGAGGCTGTTGGAGCTCTGCTATTACATGTATGCTCCATGTAGCAGGACTGATGTAGGGGCAGAGACAGGGCAAGAAGGTATTCATTTCCCTTTTGGTCACATTGTTGGAATAGTAGCCCAGAGTTAGTCAAATGACCCAATTTAGCATCAAGGGAAATATAACTGATAACCATGTACTCAGCTAAAGAATAAAATTCTGTTAATATGGAAAAAGAGACTAGTTATTGGGGAACAAAATTTTCAAGACATGATTTTAACAGATCTGCTTTTTGGCTAGTCAGTTAGTTCTCATAAATAGACAATATATGTAAAAAGGCATGCATGGTATTTGGCAAATAGTAATCTAATTGATCTGCTTTAATTCTAAATGTACCTAAATGTACTGAATTTCAGAAGTTAAGGATCAAGCAGACTTTAATATGGGACTTTTTATCGATTGTACCCCAGACTTCTTCCCCAGTCTATTCTAATAATAGCAGCTTAATAGGGCAGAGATGTCCTTTCTACTAGGGTGTGGAGAATGCTCACGTATCTGCAAAACAGTGTTCTCTGCTTCTCTATATAGAAGATAAACGAACAATTACAAGTGTTTGTTAAGTGATTCCAATTAAGGTTGACTATTATCACAGAAGCTGAAGCTCAGATAGGTTAATTAAGAAGCAACTCAGAGAAGCTATTGAAAATTACCATTGCCCAGTAATTTGATTCCAACTGGCATACTACCTGTTTTTACTAGCTGTGCCTCTCTGGTTGTGTTTCTTATTCTGTTCGAATCCCTGTTGCATTTTCTTGTTTTTTCAAGTTCAGGCAGTAAATTACAGAGCTGGAACTCAGGAATGTTTGTTTCCCCTTAGCCCCTCAATCAGGGCTTTTCCAACCTGAATTTTGATAAGATTTATATTGAAGTTTTAATCACAGCTGCCTCATAATGGAGGGCAGAACTGGGGAAGGAACTACAGCTAAAGGTCAGTAGGGCCACCTCCCATCATATAATCTTCAGCTCCATTTTCCTGAACTTCCTTGAACAGCTCTTATATCAGACCAGGCCAGAGTTTTCTAGTTCTGGAATGTCACTGTGTCACACATTCTAACTCATGTACCCACCACTTTTGTGTTTCTGCAAATAGAGAGATAGGTGCACTATGGATAAAGAGCACTCCACATGCACCTGGCTCCCTGGGAACTTCTAAACTGAGTCATTTACATGCTGTTTTCAGTGAGTGCACCATATCCACATATGCAGTATCAGCAGTGTCGACTCCGGTCTTTATATTGACTTCTAAATTTTTAACAGCTTCGTTCTGAGGAAACGTCTATAAAACTCATTACTTATAAGAAAATTAATGTTCTTGCTCATACACATAAACTAAATATAAACATTAACATTTTATAGGGTGTATCTTTTCATATGCTTCCAGTGATGTGTGCATCACATTTTGGAAGCCCAGAATAATGAAAAAAGCACAAGCCATGAAACTCTGTTTTATTTTTCCAAACTTTGAAATGCGATTAGTTTTTCTTATCTGTAATATAGATTTTCACTGGAGAGATGTGGATAACAGTATTTACCTCATCGATGGTGTTCTAAAGTTTCAATGAGAAGAAGTAGCCAAGAAGTCCAGTGCAGTGCTTGGCAGAGAGCAAGTACTCAGAAAATGGTAGTGCCTACCCTGAAGTGTCGTTGGAAATACCAGATGTGCGAGCCTGGAACTTTTAATTCTCAAATCAACAGACATAATAATTTCTACAGGTCATCGTAAGACCTCTGAGAGCTGAGAAATGAGAAATGCTGAGATATATTACAAAGAAAGAGAGGAATCTCTGGGGTCTGCCCTTCTGCCCAGTCTTGCCAAGCACTCTATGCATTGGCTGCTCTCAGGAGCATTAGCATCACATTGAGGCTTGTTAGAGACATACGACCTGTCTTAGTTACTTTTTTCATTGCTGAGACAAAATACCTGGCCCGTAGTTAAAGGAGGAAAAAGTTATTGTAGCTCAGAGGTTGTAGAGGTTTCGGGCTGTAGTTGGCTGGCTCCATTGTAGGGTGGCATGACAGAGGGGCATCGTAGGGGAGCTAAGAGTCCATGACAAAGCAGGGCAAGCAGAAGGCAGCAAAGCAGCATTCAGCAAGTGACAAGTGACAGCTACCCCTATTTTTGTCCCTTATGTTCTATCTAGGCTGTCTGCCTTTAGAGCAGGTAGCACTCATACGCAGGGTGGGGAACCTTTAATCCTAGTATCACACCTTGAATCAATTCCAGCATCACATCCTTCATCCCAGTGTCATACCCTATATATAGCCACATCTGAAGAGCCCCACCTATGACCGCATGTGACTTTGGAGGGACCTCTAGATATAAGCTATAGCACCGCCTGAGGCTTCTCCCCTGACATGCTCAATCCAAACCTGATTACTTAGCAAGATCCCCAGGTGATATGTGTATGAGAAGCACTGCTCTAGGCACTGATGTTTGATCTAAAATTTACTTTTTCATAGAGGACCAGTTCTGGTTATAAATGGTCCCTACACCAGCATCCCCTCCTATCAACCTGGAGCTAGGAATCTGCATTTTTAGCCAGTGTGCCTTATAGTTTTCAGGGCAGTTGTTTGGCAGCTGCCGTACTGAAGCTGAAGTTACTGGGAAAAACCCTGTATTTATTTTGTTTTGTGTTTTTGCATTCCATAGAGGGAGGAAGCTTTCCAGGAAAATAAGTGTTTCCCTGATGGTGGTATTAGTGAGCGTTAGAGGGAGGATCTGAAGTCAGATTACCACAGTTGGAATCTCTTTACAGCTCCACATCAGAAGGAAACTTCTGGGGAAGGCAGTGTCTCAGCAAGGTCATTTTATTTATTACTTAATTTATTTTATTTTTGTGTTTTACATTTGATTTTTCAAAACATTTTGTCTTCTAGCCGTGCTATCAAGACTAATCAGGACCTCCTCCGAGAAACTCCATGGACACACATTTTCTACAACGATTTTTGGGGGACTCTTCTAACACACAGTGGCAGCCACAAGTCCTACAGGCCCCTCTGCACTCTTTCCTTTCGTCTGAACCATGCCATTGGAGGCTTGAATCCCTGGAGCTACCATCTTGTCAATGTCCTGTTGCATGCGGCTGTCACTGGCCTCTTCACGAGCTTCTCCAAGATCCTCCTCGGTGATGGATGCTGGACATTCATGGCTGGCTTGATGTTCGCTTCCCATCCCATTCACACAGAGGCAGTGGCAGGAATCGTGGGCCGGGCTGATGTCGGGGCCAGTCTGTTCTTTCTCCTCTCCTTGCTCTGCTACATTAAGCACTGTTCTACAAGAGGCTACTCAGCCAGGACCTGGGGCTGGTTCCTGGGCACCGGACTGTGCGCGGGATGCAGCATGCTGTGGAAGGAACAAGGAGTGACTGTTCTCGCAGTCTCTGCGGTTTATGATGTCTTTGTCTTTCACAGGCTGAAAATGAAGCAGCTCTTACCTGCCATTTACAAAGTAAGTGATTGTTGGCTCTTGAACATTGGATTACTGAGTAATCTACTTGCTTGGTCCTTTGCCACCATTTAAAAAGCAAATTTGTTCCCCTTCAAGCAGAATTTAAAGTAAGTTCCTTTTTGATCTTGGGCAAGTGGAAGTGTCCTTTCTCTGCTAAGCAGGGTTTCAGTCACTGCTTGTTTTATTTCTCAGGTTTCTTAAGTTATTTTCATCATTCAAAGGTGGTAGAAAAATTAATTTTGCCTTACAAAGAATATCCATTTTTATTCATTGATTTTCAATTCATTATTTCTGCCAAATTCTGTGTAATCCAATAAATTGCCTAAAATATATATTTATAAAAACAACAGCCAATAATAGAGTTAGCTGCTAGACTCCACAGAGGGGAAATCCTCTGTCATTTGTTAGCATTACTTTTCCTGAGTTTGGAAAGCAACTCTTTCTCTGTGCAGCACTGGGAAGCTAAATTCTTAAACAATGACTCATATTCACCTTTTCCTTGTTGGAGTGTATAAGAAGAGTCAAAATTGAAAGTGCCTATTAAAAGTTTTGCCCTGGGGCCAATTTAGACCTTTGCCTGTGGGCTTAATGTTTATTCTTCTGAGTTCCCTTATTTCATGGCCTCAGAAGCACTTTGAGATGCACATACACTGAGAGACTGAGTAGTTATTTGCTGGAGCATTAAGGGAGGCATTGAGGAATCTAGGGGCCCCTTGTGAAACTGCCTGCCTTTCTTTCTCCTCTTCTCTGACACTCAGAAGAGTCACCTTTGGTTTGATTTAAGAATGAATCTGGCCAGGGTTTGGAAACTTCAGCATTTTAGGCAAACTTCCTCTTTCCTTTTGGACACAAAGGAAGTTTTTTTTTTTTTGGAGGGGACAAGATCTTGCTATGTTACCCAAGCTTGTCTTAAACTGGTGAATTGAACTTCCTCAGCCTCCTTCACCTATGGAGGGAAGAATTATGAAATATTGGTTACTTGCTGTAAGGCAGCCATTAAGTTTTCCTAGATTTGACTAATTTTTCTGTCTTCCCAGTTTTGCTCAAAATTGAATTAGGAAGAAATTAATGAAAAAAATGGAGAAAGACAAACACTTTTGTTGGCCATTTTGTTCACCTAATAGACAATAATTACTCTTGTGCTTTTACTCTGTGGGAAATATAAGCTTTTCACTTAGAACGCAACTCCCTATAAACTTAATAAAGTATTTCTGTGATTTCATTTAAATGCTGAAAGTTTGAAGAAAACTTTGAGTAAAGTTTGATGCTTGGAAATAGCATATGGTTTGAAAGTTAAGTTCTTCACTTCCAAACAGTTTTAATTCTCTCAAGGAGATTTGGAGAGAATAATTGTTTTTTCCTAGAATGATGTCATCAACAGTAACACACTTTCTTATTTTCCTGAAAATTCAAATAGAATAATTCATCTTTATGTAAGTTGCAATCTGTTTCAGTGTGCAGGCTCAGTAATGTTTTGGACCTCATGTTGATACCCTATAAAATGTGGTTTTACAGAATTTCTATTTTACTATCTCACTGTTTTTATACATTAATTCAGGACATGCTTCGGGGTCTTTTTGAAATTTTTTTCTGAAAAATTATCAGTTCTCTAGATTTTTAAAGGTAGAATGACATATTTAGAAAATTATTTGTTTTTGTGAAATTTAAGTTTATCTCAGATTCTGTGTTTTATATGACAACCTTATTCATGTAACTGCTGCCTGATAAAGTTAAGAAATGCCACTAGCAGAGGAACTCCTTAGACAGGGTTAATGGGAAAGGACTTGGCTCTGTTGAAGGTTCAGCATTCTAAGGTGACAGGACTTGTCCTGATCTTGGCCATCCCTGTTTGCAGACCAGGTAGCAGCTGTGGTAGCAGTGGGGGCAGCCAGACCGTACATCTGAGAGCTGCTCCCTAGTCTTAGCACTTTCAGTCACTCTTCTAGCTGAGGTGAAGGTTACCCAGTAGAATTCATACTTCTGATTGTCTAGCAGTCTTTTTACTGCATGCTGAAGGTGTGAAGATGAACAGATATAGAAAGTCAGATGAATGCGAGGCAGAAAGGATATGATGTAGAAAAGGATCCCGAGACTTGGTCTGTTCCTATGATGTATCTTTTCCTCTGGAAGTGGAGAGATAGTTATTGTTGTTTCATGGAATTGTGATGTTTATATGAATTTTGTGGTGTTACGCACAAGCTAGAGTGCCCATTGCAGCATTTGAAAGAAACTTAAAATTGATGAAACTTGTAATTTTTTACTTTTAAGAAATTTGAGGCCAAATGATAAACTTCTAGAAGTCTTTTTTTTTATAGTGATTTGGGAGCCTATAAAATATGAACTGCTTAGAAGTCTATCAAAACTGAAGTGTATACATTTTAGCACAAATTTCTAGAAGTCTTTTTTTATAGTGATTTGAGAGCCTATAAAATATGAACTGCTTAGAAGTCTATCAAAACTGAAGTGTATACATTTTAGCACAAACTTTGATTTAGAATCTCATGACTGAAAAGTTTGTAGAATGTATAGATTGTTAACACAAGTTACAGAAAATTCATACGGATTTGTATGTCTGGTATGAATTAGAAGAGATTCTTCCGGAAGGAAGTGGATTAGAAGACTTCAGAAGACTCTTTGAAATTGTAGAGAATAATCATCTTAATTATCTTACCAGTTAACTTTGCATCCCGGTTAGGGTTTGCCTAATGATGATGTAAACTGCCTTGCTCTATTAAAACATAACTCAAATGTGAATAGCAAACTCCTGTGCACAAATGTTTTAGCTTTATGATACAAATTGGAGAACTGATTAAATACTCCAAGTCTTAAAATGGGTGCCATTGTAAAGCTGGGAGTTATTACATTCGTAGGCAAGAATTTCTATTTTTATCATTTTAACAGTAATACTCAGCATCTTTTTCTACTACATTTGTGTCTGTGGAACTATGTTGTTGTTGTGGTGGTGGTGGTGGTGGTAGTACTGGGGATTGGGCCCAGAGCCTCACACATGAAAGGCAAGTGTTCTACCACTGTGCTATATACTCCCTTCCTTTTTATTTTTGAGACAAAGTCTTACAGAGTTGCTCAGGCTGCCTTGAACTTGTGATCTTACTGCTTCAATTGGCTGAGTAGTGGAGATTACAGACGTGTGCTAGGGTACTCAGCTTGGTTCTAAACACTTACATAAACGCTTGTCCTGCTCTCCAAGCTCAAAAGTCTGGCAGGGGCGTGCAGAAAGCGTTACATTGCTGAGGTGTCCTACCACTACTATTTCTTTCTACCTCATAATAGCAATTTTTAAAAAATGCAGGTTCTGTTCAGTAGAGCTTAAGATTTCTTTAGGGAAACAAATTCTTTTGTGATGTCTCCTATTTTTGAAATATTAGTTGTTAATTAAAAAACAAATATTCCCTATTTGGGCCAGACAGTATTCTTGAGATGATGGAATTTGGGTAGTTTTGACTTCTTACAAGTGGCACATTGATCTGTGTTATGTACAGTACTTTATCAGTTCTGCAAAGAACAAATTGAAAGTTACATTTTTCTTTGGTAAAGTATGTAAGAAATAGTAAGTTCTTGGCATGTAGTAGATATTTTATTTAATATTTAATGAACACTTAGAGTATTCATACTTGGCAGGTACTGTTCTTAGTATACTAAAATGTTAACACATTTAACTTAACAACTGCTTATTGAGAGAAGCAGTATGACTTAAGAAATTATATGGCTGAGTACTGACAAACTATAATTTTGTCAATAGTTAGATTTGTCAAAAAACATTAAATATAAAAGTCTTCAGAAATACACGTGAACAAAAGACAGTATTTTAAAATATTCTGGGTTTCTAAGCCTCAGGATTTTATTTAATGTAGTTCTTAGTTGTCTTTGACCTCTGTAGTATGGCATCAGGTGCATAGTAGGCATTCTGTAAATTACTGAATTTACACTAAAAACTTTCTTTTTAAAAATTCATGGCTGTAATGTAAACAGTGAAATCTTTACTCCTGTTATTGTGAGAATTTCATTACTGGGTTAGTGGGTTCTGTAAGGTAGAATTGGAAGACACAGAAGTCAGAAAAATAAATTTTCTTGACCTCTTAACCAAATGATTGTTTTAGCATTCTTCATGTTACTTTCATTTACTTAGTTTTATGTGGTCAAAAAGCAAGGAGAAGGGGACCTTGAATTACACTGAAAGTAGCCTTGCAAATAAATACTAGAGTTTTATCTGCCCACAATTTCTTTTACAAGCTTCCATGACTCTAGGAGGTATATGGATAATAAAATCAGTAAAAGCAATGTTTTTCTTACCCAGAATCAGTCATTACTTGTCTAGTAGCCATTTTCTGTGCTTATTTAACATCTGTTAACTGTTTTAATGTGAAAATGTCTTTTTTCCCCTTTTATTAGTCTCATAATCACTTATTCGGTTACAGGTGGGAAATGAAAGAAAAGTAGGGAAGGGAATGAAAAAAAATCACTGTGGCAATTCTAAGTATAGCTGAGATTTGGAGAAATGATACCCTTTTGGTTTGATCTTTAAGACTTTTTCTAAAGATGACTATTTTTATTTTGCTACAGTTGCTTCCAAGATGTGCATTATCTTAAATTTTGTGGTTCTAGTTCACATAAACAAGATAAGACTATGTTATTATACAGGGAAATGGTAAGCACTGCCACTTTGGAAAAATGAGTCATCTCTTTCTAGAAATAGCTTTTTTGTTTTAATGCCAAAGAGGACGTGGACTATGGATTTTACCCATGGGGTATAACATTTACCTTCATCTTCTCTGTTGCTTAAGCTTGATTCTACATTTGTATATGGTGATCAGATCATACCTAACAAACATTCCATATTGCCAAACCATTTGTAAAGTTTATCTTGATAGTGATTTCCAAAGGTGAGAGTTTATGTTCTGTTGCAGTATTTTGGTTCATCACTCTCTGAATACCAAAGAAATTAAACACGGTGCTTCTGTGCATCTGATTGTTTTGTTTGT